ACAACAGCCACAATTTTTCCCCCATTAATTTGAGGTAGTTTGTAGTGGGTAAATAAAAAATCGAAAAAATGATCTCAAATTAATATTGCAAGAAAACTTTTTGCAAATTTTTAATAACGTCTTTTTACATTTTTTGCCTTTTTCAAATTTTCTGTCTTTGTTTTGGTATTGAGCTAGATAATGGAAATAGTTTGCAGTTAGAATTCCCTTTTAGGCTACAAATAGACATATGTGTGCTTGTTTAGACAATAAGTCATCACCGCCTATAATACACTCCATTGCGCTTTGCGCTTACACTCTGGAATTTCTCCAGCTTCCTGCCGGCTCTTCCGGGTTCGGTAAACATAATAAACTGGACTTCAGTGATGTGCCTACCACACAATTGTATGTTCAGGAATTCGATAATATCGCGTTCGGAGGTTGCCCCTTTTTTCGTTTTATGTAATTTTAGAAATGTTTGTTGGAGCAAAAATATTGTTTTTTTTTTACGAACTGTTGCTTATTTAAAATAGTTCAATTTAATTAAAGAAAATTGATCTTTATTAACGATGACATGAATAAATCAAATGAGAACCAAGCTTGCGCACATCTAACTTAAGCTGTCCCCTCAAAAAATATCCCCTGGGATTAGTAATTTATTTATTGCAGATGCTAATTTTCAATATCAATGTCAAACGCGGGTTTTAGCTAACTAGGAAACTTTTTCGGTTGTCTATCCGCCTGGATCATTCGGATCCTGTCATGTATATGCCTCGTAGGATGAAATTTGGTTTGCGGACGTAAATTGATGACCCACAAACAGAAATGAACAGATTTTTGTAAATTGAGTGGATTTATTTTAAGATGGTCTCCTAAATGCGATAAATATTATTTTCGGGTATTTTTATTCTGATCGTTCAATTACGATACATTCATACATGTGTTGTAGCCCCCCCCCCTTGCCACTAATTAGTACTTATGCAAGAAAAATTGGTTATGACAATAGCAGTTCGGGATTAAATGAAAATTGTCTAGGAGCTTCTTGTTGAACCTATCAATTTTTAAATGGAAAGTATCGATTGAATGCAATTCACCGACCCGTCTAAATTTACGGGTTTATGCTTGCAAGGGATAGTGTAAGGGAGAGCGGTGTGTGTTTCTGAAGCTGCCTGCATCATCTTTATATTTGCTGCCCCTGGGTTATGAATAATTTAGTTAGAAGTAAGTCTTGTATGTCCCCCCCCCTGTAATTTCCAAACGAGACTACCTAAAAATTTGGAAAAAGAACTTGGAGGCAGAATAATAAAGGTCGACTCTTCCAATAACTATTGTTCCTTTACTAAATTAATACATTAAGTCAATTAAGATTTGAACAAATTTCTTTTAATAGCTTAATCAAGAGTGTATCTTATGTAGAATTACAGAACAGTGCTTGAATAAGTAAATAATGACAAGCCACTAAGTAGATTTTCATTCTTTTCCGATATCCAGGCACCGATGCCGTTATCTAAATTACGCTTAGAGAAATGGCTTTTGGAAGGGGGTGAGGTTGGAGGTAGACAACATCAGACTACGGGCTACGATGAATTATTTCCTTCATTAACCAATAGATAGGTAGGTAGGTATATTGATTGGAAGTTCAGAAATTGAATTTGAAAAATAAGGGTCTAGGCAGGCACTTCAATCAAAAGAAAGTCCATTTTCATTTCAGTCAAAACGATTGGATCAAAAAATGAGTAGGGAAGAAGAGAGGTGATGGAAAACAATCAACAACTATAAACCAGCGGCGGAGAGGACATTACAAACAACTTTCAATAGTTATGTTTCCGAAATGGGGGTTCAAAATCTGATTAACAAACGATGGAATACCCAAAAGATGCTTTTTCGTGGCGATGCATAAAAGCCCAAAAGATGCTACAGATGATGTGAAACTCCTTACTCCAAAACTGTTACATATGTTCCCCATGCCTCGCTACGGGTCTCATTCAATAAATTTAGTTACAGCATCGCTGCGTTTATAGCCATGTGGAGGGCCAGTGTCGCAATAAAATTTTTCGATGTTCCTGAGATTTCACGTGCAACCTAGGTACCTTCTACCTGATATCATTTACACATGCTACCTACTTATTTTGTATAATTATTCATTAATACAAAATGCTAAAAACAAATTGTTCAAAGAACATTCTTTTATCTTTATAAACGAAAATAAGTAGGCAGCATTTAAAATTCAAACTGGTAGTTTAGTTTATATTCTGACTGCTATAATTCTGTGAATAGTTTCCCAAAGAGAGTATTCTATTGGTAAAACGATTTGAAATGCTATATACTATGATCATTCATTAAAGCTCTGAAAATTGTAATAAAAGATGAAGTACCTAGGTATATGAAACTATCAAAATCGTTTTAAGTTCATTTCGACCTGTAGTTAATATTATATATAAAAAAATTATGAGTGCTGTCAGCACAGGGCAAAGTAATATTTAGTAAATGAATGTTAGTACCAGTAATTTCTTATGTTGAAGTGTACGGTGTGTTTCATACCTATTTACAAACAATTCCTTTAAATTTTAATCATTGATTACTATACATCTATTAATAAACCATAATGGCCGACATCAGACAACAATTGAAAAAGAATGATGGCCGACAACTGCAACAATTAGAAAAGAATGATGGCCGACACTACGTCATAGTGGAGCAATAAAAATGGCCAGGGGCAGGAGGAAGAACTTGTATTGAATAGTAAAAAAGAAGCAATGAACTGTTCCATTTAGGTGTCAATTTTATCGTTTCATGTGTTTCACGTACCTACTACCTATGCATTTATATTCATACAAATTAATACTTGCACTGATTAATTAATTAATTAATTATTGATATTAATAGGTGTTGTATATACCCAAAACTACTACTTAACCTTCGTTTTGACGAATTTAAGAACACGCCGAAAAGTTACAGAATATTTTAGGCGTACATTTAGAATGACCAAGTAAAATTCCAATTAATTATAACAGTTTAAACAGTTATACAATAGCAATAATGTTTTTGTCATACCTTTATCAATTATTTTGATTTCTTGCCAAAGTTTGCAGTTTGTTTTATACTTTGTTGCACAATTTTACGGATACGGATCGAATTATAAAAGGATGTATAATTAATTACACACATTTCTAATAATCAATAATTAATAAAAAACCATCAAACACTTGTTGCATTAACATTGGAACACTTCACGTGCGCGACCGCGTGCAAAACACCGGCAACGGAGGTTAACTAATGCAATATGCGTACGTGGCAGCATAAATATTGCGCCTGCGTTCTAAACTATGAACACCGTAACTTCCGCTGATTCTGTTATTCTTCAAGCGCGGCAGTTTTAAATCGACTTCAATAAAACAAATAAAATTCCCACAGGTTTATTCTAATATACTACTCCACAAATTATTCGGACATCAAGATTATTATTACTTTAGAGAATGGATAATGCCCGAAACAAAATCTGTGAACATATTTGTATTTTATTGAAAGTTTAAATAAGATGCTTAATAACAATATTCGAATAAGAGGGAATATGTATGCCGATATTACTATCTTGTTAAGTACTTCTTTTTCTTTAGTTATTAAGTGTTTAATTATTACTGATTTTAATTAACCAATCATAGGGTACATTGATTGCCAGTGATGAATTAAAGATCAATTACATTGATTAGTTGTTTTGAGTTGTTATTTTGGAATACCATCAAACCTTATTGTTTTTATTAGGTATTACCAGTTCTTCCCCCTGTCCCCGGCCATTTTTATTGCTATGACGTAGTGTCGGCCATCATTCTTTTCTAATTGTTGCAGTTGTCGGCCATCATTCTTTTTTAATTGTTGCAGTTGTCGGCCATCATTCTTTTCTAATTGTTGCAGTTGTCGGCCATCATTCTTTTTCAATTGTTGTCTGATGTCGGCCATTATGGTTTTTTAATAGATGTATAGTAATCAATGATTAAAATTTAAAGGAATTGTTCGTAAATAGGTATGAAACACATCGTACACTTCAGCATAAGAAATTGCTGATACTAACTTTCATTTACTAAATATTACTTTGTCCTGTTCTGACAGCACTCATAATTTTTTTATATATATAATATTATAGCAATAATTTACCAGAAGTAGATTATAACCCTACTATTGCGATCGTTGGAAGAAATACAACACGTTATATCAGAATGAGAAACATACCATCAGTTTATATTCTAATGAAAATTAGAACATATACATTTACAAGAAATTAAGGGACTGATATTGTAGTTGAAACATACCTTTCCCACATAATATGGTAGTATTTTGACTATGCCTTGGATCTTGTGATACCTACACTCTGTCACACGATTCTAGTCGATACGCTATGAAGTCAAATAATAAACTGACGAGTTATGATAACGATTGATTATATTAATTAATCAAAAGTATCAAAGAATCATGTAACACTCACGCACCCGAACGCGTTGTAAGAACTTGCTAAACAGAGGTTAATTGTAATTCATGAGGCGATCATAGAGATCGGAGCGCATGCGCTTTACTAAATTATACGGCTTTTGTTTTTTAAGCGCCATATTTTTAAATTTGAAAAAAGCGGTTTTTGTTTTGCTTAATAATTAATTATTAGTAAAAAGTAAAACATCAGGTTACACAAATGTTGCTATTTTGCATTAAATAATAAAATAAATAGGTAGTATTGGATGGTGTGGATTGAAAAATGGGATACTTTCGAATAGGAAGATGTTTTTTTAGGATACACACAAATATATATTGAATAATTTGCCCCTGAAAGTTCGTACATTTTGAAATTCGAAGACAGTAGAAGTGTATGCGAGGGTCTACTTTAATGTATGGTGGGTTGCCTTTCCTGTCCATTTTGAGTGAATGTTACTGTACCAACTAATTTCTTTGTCACCGTTCTGTATCCATTTTCATTTATCGAGGCTGTTTTGACAAGTCTTTTGTTTCCATGTTTTGTTTATCGTTTGTTCCAGATCAAGACGGCGCGGAACCCTGCGGGAATTCCGTGTCTGTTCACAATCTGATTAGACTCGCGGCCTACTTGGATCGTGAAGATTTGAAGGTAAAAGCCGGTCGTACTTTGAGTGCGTTCGCTGATAAGCTTTCTGCCATTCCCATCGCCCTTCCCGAAATGGCTTCCGCCTTGTTATTCTATTACGAATCTCCAACCCAGGTAAGTTTATATACTCATTTTTCTTGTTATCGCGGCCACTTTTTTACATTTCTCGAGCAATATTTATGTTCCTATTTGTTTGTTTGTTTGTAATCGCGTTCTTTAGAACGGTTTCAACGATTTCGATGAAATTGACAATATAGGGGTTTACGGGGATGAAAAATCGATCTAGCCGGGTCTTATTTCTGGGAAAATTCGTTTTCTCATTGTTTTCACGCACAATGCAACAAATGTGTCTTGCCCATGCAACGAGATTGGTAAATAGTCTAGTGGCTAGAACGTAGGCCTACCACGCCGGAGTGCGCGAGTTCAAATCCCGCAATGTAGTCACATTTTTTTTTTGTTTTAATTTTGGATGATATGTAGAAAAGCAATTGTGAGATACAAACTAAGAGTAATGACTTATACAAGACAGTTTTAGCAAGACGTTTTACATCAGTTCTGAGTAGACTTCGGTCGCCTAGGTACTTCTAGGATTATACGCGGTGCGTTTAAAAAGTGTAGGAACTAGCAGTAAAATTGTAAAATTCCTTGCCACTTTGGCAACATTAAGGGGTTTCTTTGTTTGTTTCAGGTGTTTATCGCGGGCGATGCTGAAGACAACAATACACAAGCGTTACTGGACGTTTTACGTACCCGTTTTATACCGGGTCGAATCCTGGCTGTGGCCGACGGTCCAAGTGGGCGAGCTGGCATCCTTTATCGGCGCCACGAGTCCTTGAGCCGTTTGCAGCGGATTCAGGGAAAACCGGCCGCGTACGTATGTCGTAACTTCGCCTGCTCGCTGCCAGTAACCGAACCCCAAGATCTGGCCAATTCGCTTGATGATTACGCCCAACAGTTAAAAGAAAAAACGGCGCCCACGGTCAAGGATAACACTCCTCCAGGACCGTCCACAGATCCCGACAAGTGAAGGGTAGTGAACTGGGCGATCATATACATATATATTCATAGAATTGTTGTTTTCGCGAGGACTGACTGTGATGGTATGTTAATATTATGTTATTATTATTAATTATATTAAATCTTTCTTGCAATTAGTTTACTTTTACCGGTTTGTTAGTATCAGTATTTGGTATGATAGTTAGGTTTAGGGTTTTGGCGTAAGTGGCTCAAGTTTTTGGTCGTTTTGTGGGAATTGGGTGGTTGGTAATTAGCTTTAATGTAAACATTATTGCTTTATTTCTTACTTATATATCTCTATATACATTTCACACGTTGGTGAATTTCGAATTCAGTTGGTACTGCCTTTCATTTTTTTTTTTTTTTATAAAATATTTGCGAATCTTTATTGCCTTTTGTAAACATGGTGGGGTAGTTTTTTTTTTTAATATTATTGAAAATCACGACTTTTACCAATTGTTTAAAATATGGCTGTGATATACTTATAAAGGCTACTAAAGGTAAGTTCCGATTTTCGTATATTTTTCTTCTTGTTTATGCCTTTTTTTTTTTAACGTGACCATTATTATGGGTGTGTTCCGAAATATAACCCAGCATACTGGCTAGCGCTGATAACGTCATGAATCGACGCCATATTGTACTGGTGTGCCACCATATTGTACTGGTGAGACAAGTGTGAAGTTGTAGTATATCCAACAATTGTTGTAAACGAGCACAAACACTATTCTCAATATGGCGTCAATTTGATGTCAACGCACTGGCCAGTATATTTGGGAACGAATCAACAGTATGGCGTCGATTTATGACGTCATCATTACCGGCCAGTATGCTGGATTATATTTCGGACCACACCATATACTTGATCTGATTTAATTCCTTATCCGTTTCTATGGTAACATTTATATGCCACATTTACATTTTGTGTGCTGGTATTACCAGTTTATTCGTTTTTTTTTATAATCTTTTTATTTCAAAATTTGAAAATATTAAAGTTGTGACCAAAGCGCTTTATAATCCTTCAGGAGATAATCTATCCGGTGTCCAAGAGAATTAACTTTTTAATGGGATTACAAGATGCAGTTAAGTCCGCGATTATAAGTTATAAACGAAACTGTTTCTAAATTTTAGAGGTTTTAGTAATTTTTGTATTTTGTGATTTACGGGTTAAAATCTAAAAAGGAATTAATGTGTTAAAGGTAAAATTGTTTCATATGAAGTCATCGAAAATATTGCTTTTCATTGATTGACTATTAATTTCAGATTAATTTATGAAAAGAAATTGTTAGTTAGTCGTAAAAATTGGGCTATATTATTTGATAGTGAATGTAGAATCTATCATATGTTAAATTAAATGACTTTTCAATAAAAATTCGATCTTTGTTTGCCCAATTGTAGTCTTATGCATTTACTTTTTCGAATACTTTACATTTATTTTAAAGGTTGAAGGGCC